GCTTAATGATTCGAAGAAGCTATTGAAAGCTCCCGCAGCTTCTCTTGGCGAGTGACTCCATCGACGGGATACCCCTTGAAAGTGCACTATAGCGTACGCTTAATGGATCAAAGGCATGTTAGTGATTCTCAAAGACATCTCACTCTTGATTCTGCGCAAGATCAGATCGTCCCCGTTCTCTTATATCAGTGTTGAATTCGGGCTGGCCATAGTGGCAGGCATTGACACACTCCAGCTTCACTCACTGTAAATGCTTCTCCTAACGAGTTTAGAGCATTGGCCGGCCCATTACACCCAAATAATGGTCCCTGTAATCAAACCATTGACGTGGAAACTGTTGCTACCACTCCGCGGTATCGAACATGCTCGCTGTGTCCGCACGGTTCTGTTGCTTGATGAGGCGACATTGATGACTCAAATCCTCGATTCGATCTCTACAGCAAGTGCTTGAGACGATGCTTCTGCATCTGGGTGTAACAAACAGTGCAGCCCTCGCTCATTTGGCGTAGGTCTCGCTAACGACACGAGTGAAAGCCCTCGTCTTTGGGAACGCAACGGTTGCTATCACAGCAGTTGGCGATTCGACCAACGTCAGTCGAAACTAGACCACACGGGGCCTGACACAGGCACAACTGCAATGAAGCCTTCCACGAATGCGCTTGGTGTGCTACTGACTATGCTACTGATCATGTTGCATTCTCAATAATACCCCAGCTGCAGCAACGTGCCACGGTTGCCATCGATATCCATACAAGGGGAAGACTGCGTTTGGAGCTATCCTCTCAAATGACCTGCTCAACGGGAAATTTGTCGACAGATGTTTCTGAACAAAGTTTGCACTATATCTGTTCCGATGAGGAAGTGTGTAATGACACCTGAGCTATCTAACCTCACTGGTTGAGGCTAAGATGAAATCGCTCGGGTCAAGCACCACAGCTCTACGGACTCCACAGAGTCCCCGGTCGACAGCGAACGGATGCCCTTTGATAATGTACAAGGACGTATTATGTACTCCTTTGTGACGGATCATAATAAAGACGAGATTCGCACTTTTGCTCCGTCAAGAGCAAGCATCGGCTACCCCTGTTCTGGCGTTGACGCCATGAGTTGACAGCCATTGCCCTCATGTCACAACTCCTTTTCCACGTCAGAGACCAAGCTTGGCCTTCTTCACATCGAGCGACACGAGCTGCCCTAGCCGTTCGTCAGCCAGTGGTTCAATCTGATGAGCCGGCCGAGTTATGTCCAGGGCCAAAGGATGCAGACCTTGCACACCTCGCACACCCCAATCCCACGGACAGCCAGCCAGACCAGCAGCATGGTAGGTTGAGCAGGGTAAGACATTCTCTAACGACCTTGGCTTATTGCGATACTCAGGTCGGTAGGTGGTCCGACTAGGAGACCAGCCGCAATCCGTTTGGCGACCTACTTCCAAGTGAATTCCAGTCAAATGAGTCAACCACAACAGTATTGTCGAACCTGGCCCATTGGTAACAGCACCGTCGCATTCGGAAATCCCGCCATGCGCGTAATACAAGTAAAAGCAATGCTCAGAATGGTTAACTAGACTAGGGTCCTGACTTACGCAGCATCGTGGCCTGAGCTTTCAACCCATGCTCGATAGAAGTGCCGGGCACGGCTGGCACGCCGGTGTTTCAGGCTTAGGATCATCGGAGTTGCGGGCAGGAGGGTTCGGGGCTTTCAAGAAGCCCAAACCCTTGCTTTCCGTTAATTGCCTTTGATCTATCAATCAGCTACTATGGAGCAATTAATAACTCAATTGTTCCCGCAGGCACAGGGTGCCAAGACGGGCTCTGTCCACGGTCTCGGGTGAGGTGTTTGGGGCAGACGCGGAGGCCAGGGGACAGGGGGTCTCGGGTGACGCCTGGGCAAGGGCTCGACGACATTATTTCCCAGAAGGGAGCGCTGGCCCGATGCAAGAACATGGAGCCGGACTCTGCCCGCTTCTGAGTTCTGACATGGATGCAATCTACGTCTAAGTGCGCATGTTCTTGTTCACCCGATTCCAATCTTCCTCCAAGGCAAGGCCATGGCGTCCGAGCAAGATCGAGTGTGTGAGATCGAGCAGCATGGGCCGCCTGTTATCCACGATAGGATTGCGTGCTGATGAATTTGTACTCGTTCTTGTCAGGTGCCCTCAGCAAGCGCCATGCTGACGCCGACGCGGCAGACAGATACGTACTGTACGAACACAAGCCGTACCAAAAGTCCTGCGCTGTCAAGTCAAGTCGAGCTCCACGGAGCGTGGATCAGTTCATTGGTGCTCTTCCTATCGAAGCTTCACCCTACCCCCCTCATCGAACGATCAGAGCCAGCCACAGCAGCCGCCGCCGCCGCGCCGGCGATCACAGCATGCCCAATGGCTGAATGATCACCCTGGCATGCCGTCGAATGCATGTTCTCCGTGGCTTATTAGTTAATCAACAGTCATCATGGGCGGCTGGGCCCCACGGGTGACATGAATGCTTCTGTCACATTGAGGCTCCAGGCAGCGAGTTTCGAGCCCTTGTGAGTTGTGACCAGCGCGCTGGTGATGATCGAGGATCTTGCATCTTGTCCTGCCAGGACATGGTGTGCCGTCCCATCTATTAACCGCTGGACGGACGAACGGACGGACAGAAATTTGCTCATCGCGTTACACCTCCTCCTGTCTGCAAGGGCGATCCGCAACACACACAGAGACGCTCGGCACAATGCATGCTGACCGGCCGGTTCTGGCTCCTGACGGATGGAGCAGCTGCTCCTTATTGACTGAGCCCCATTGACCGGGCTTCGTGAAATCAACCAGCGTCTCAAGTCGGGCGGTCCTCAATGACATTGATCGGGCATGGTCTCGGTGCGGGCAGCCGCAGAATAAGGACAGTCGAGCCCACGAAACCCACTGCGACAGTCGGTCAGTATGGCAAACATTAGGCTAATAGCAGCATCGCCCTGGAGCAGTGGTGCCATCATCGGTTACACCCAGCAGTTGATGTGCAGGCAATCACCCACCCAACACGCATCGTGTGCCACAAAGGGCCCGACTTCTGTCCATACGGCACCCCTTCTATCGGGGATGCAGCAGCTTGCAGCCCTACTGCATCCTCGTCCCTCGCAATGGATCTGCGGGCAACATATGACAAGGCACGGGTCGGGTCAACCTGCCCAATACTTGCAAGCGCCTGGAATCCGCATCTATGCCTACATGTAGGACGGGACGTCCATTCTCTTGCAGGGGCGGTTTTTCACCTCGCTCATCTTCCGAAAAATCGTGCTGTATTAAAGCGACACGAGGCTCTTGATGATGCTATATGCCCGTGGCCCACACTGCTGGAATCGCCCGTACGTCGACGTGCTGCTGCAACGCCAGGGACCAGGTATTATTGTTCACGGCAGAATGTGTGGACCGGGATCCCAGCCCCTCCGCCCAACGAGCAGGGATCATCAACCAAGATCCAAAGACGGACGTGCTGTTCATCAGAAATGTGCGCGGCATGTGTGTGTGTGTGTGCGTGCATTTGGCACTGCACTACGCATGTGATGAAGTACACATATGTTGCTTCTGTTACTCTGGGTATTGTCCCCAGACATGCCAGAACGTGGTTGGCCGTCACGCTAGCCATTCATATGATTAGCGCGTGCGTGCGTGCCATACTATGAACAACACGTACGTACTATAGAGCGCATTATCCATCATGTCCCGTAGCGTGTTCGCTTAAAGTCTCGATTTCAGGGACGTCAATCTGGATGAGGCGATCCATCTGACACTGTCATCTCGTCTACGACCCAGAGGGCCAGAGCCGACCGGCACTTGTCCTTTCTGAGCAATACACTCGTCCGTATCCTGTCCCTGTCAGAACATGGAGAGAAGAGCAGAGAGACGCTTGGCAGAACGTGGCAGGAAGGGGAGCCGAAGCTGTGGACACTGACAAGGTAGTCCATGCCAGTTCGTCCAGACGGTGAGTTGGCAGCGAGGCCCGTGCTCCAGAAGCGTCAGGCTCCAGCCAGCAAGCAAGGGCAGGGAGGAGGAGGAGGAGTAGACGAACAGGACTGACTGGAGTCGCCCGTCTGACTATGAAGGGGCGGAAACCCACCACGAAGTACCTGTATCGCATATCTACTAATATCCCTAATTACCAGGGAAACCATGTACGTTCTGTAGACAAATTATGGGTCCCGCTAGCGATGAGTCTCTGTCTCTCCATGTGGCATGCGGCATGATTCAGGTTGACGTTTCCGCAAGAAGGGCCACAATAGTCATAGTGCGGGCGGGACTGGACGTCAGCACCAACCCCTCCCCTCTCTGTCTCTGTCTCTCGTCCTGCATGTCCTGTCCTGTCCTGTCCTTTTCTTTGCTTTCCGGGTGCTCGAGGATCTGAGGCCGGGTGTTGATCGCGCGTCCGTCGTAACAATGTATGTAATGTAAGGCATCATCATGATCGGCATGCGGTTTTGTCTGGCGTCTGTTCCCAGCAACGTATGAAATGATGGGTTGATGGGTTCCATCCATCCAGTCTGCTCCCGCGCCACCCCCAGCCTTTTCATTTTCATTTTCGCCACCGATCTACGTTGGTCACCTTACGTAGGATTGGAAGTTGGGCAGAGCACGTAGTAGGTAGACTGCCATAAGTGTGGAGAGTGATCAACGTTCTTTGCGTTGTATTCTTGCCCTTCCGCCGAAGAAGGGTGCTTGCTTGCTTCCTGTCGAGTGCGAGCGCCAGTCTCCCGTCAGCTGGAGGCAAGTCTCGTGCATGTCGTCTATATACATTATCCTGTACAGAGTGTTCTTTCTCCCTTGAGGGTATCCGCAGCTGTAGCCTCCAATGAGGACGTGAATCAAACCAGTGCGCCCATGTAAATGCTGTCTCGTAACGCGAATAGTCCGTTGCCCCTATAGTACGCCGAAAAAAAGAAGAAAAAAGTCGCAGAGAACGTATGCTTGCGCAGCGACGGACATGAATGTGTACAGATCGGACGGCCAGGCTGTCGCCATGACCGGTCTAACAGTGGCATCCCCGCTCGTGACGCTTCATATTACTGCGTACACTGAATGCCTTGCCGCAGCCCGGCTGTGAGCACTTGAAGGGCTTCTCGCCCGTATGCGAGTGGCTGTGGATGCGCAGACTGCTGGGACGGCTGAAGGCCTTGTTGCAAGTCTGGCAGATGTAGCGGTCCTGGCATGCTGGGAACTGATGTCCCGGCGCCGGGTTGAGATAGTGGTGGTGTTGCCAGGAGATGGGGCCCAAGGTCGAGCGAGCGACAGAGACGCGGATGTTGGGCGGCGGGAACGACTTGGGCAGTGGTTGTTGGTACGCGAGGCCCGATGGGGGGGACGGGGCTTGCGCTTGGGGGGGCTGCGCGCTCGCAGACGAGGCTGGCGGGAAGTAGCTGCCAGCACTGGGTCCATGCGCTTGTGCCGAAGGCGTCTGAGGAAGAGTGCGATGGCGCTGCATGTCCGACTCCAGAGGCGGCGTGGTCTCGTGGTAGTATCCTGTGGGCGTCGAGGCGTTTGAGTAGTGGGTCTTTGGCCTCTGCACGGGCGATGTGGTGTCTGTGGAGGCACTGGTGCTCATGGGCGGTGAGGGAGGTGATGCTCTGTGGTGGTGAGGGAAGGCGTTGGCGTAGCCTGTGCCGGGGCGGCTGTCTGTCCTGATGCCCGAAGACCTCCTTTGCAGTTTTGATGATGAGGGAGCAGACTCGTGAGTTGGTGATCCGGCGTCGGCAAGACCGATCAGGTTGGAGATGGAAGGAAGGGTACACCGCGGCTGGTCCATGGGAGGCGATGGCGGAGGGCAAGCGTACTGGTACTGTCCCAGGTGCTGCCCAGTATGGTAGCGGCTTGCTATTGAGGTGGCCATGTTTATATATTGTGTGTTGTAAAGTCAGATGGGTGGTTCCTTGCGTCACGGCGTTGCGAAGGAGGGGTGGGACGGCGGTGTTCTTGTTGCCCTAGGCCCTGTCTCCTCTGCTCTGCTCGATTCCGTACTTGATGAAGAGTGCGTGGTCGGTTTCGGTGACGGGTCAAATGTCGAGGATTGAAGCTGGTGATGATGTGTGGTGTGGCACGAGATGTCGTAGTATCAGATGGGGGTTCCGGTTCTTTGGGATGATCGGGGTTGCGCCGAGTTTAAGTACGAGGCCAGCCTTTTGTGTGCGTGCTTGGCTTGGCTTGCGGTTGACAGACGTGAGGAGGGTGTGTGAGAGTGTGCCTGGTCTTGATGGGCCTACTCCTGCTCTCTTTGGGTGCGTCCGAGAATCTGATGAGTCTGCTCTGCACGCACTGGGACTGGCCGGGTACATCTGCCCACGCTATACACATATCGGATCTGAGAATCCCACCCCTTGATCCTCGGGTCTGCCGCGAGACGCCGCTGTCACTCGCGCGCTGCAGCTAGAGAACCGTAGAGCAGCTAGCTAGCATGCGAGCGAACCTTTCCGAGGGCCCTTTGTGACGGACATTGCAGGGCATCCACAGGAATAGGTGGAGTGAAGGGGAGGGGGGGCGTGCGGATGTTCGCCCCTCGAAGCGGACGGATTGCCTGACAGAACTGACCTGGGTGATCGTGGCAGGACGAGGATGGGCCCGGCATTGCACTGGACGCGCCCAAACAGGCTGTCAGGCTTGCTTTCAGGCACTCAATCTGTCTGTCGTTCCTCCAAGCAAGCTTCCAAGTTCGACAAGGACGGACAATCGGGGAGCGGGTGTGTGAAGATCTGACAAGTACCCACCCCTGCCCTCTCTTCTTTTTCCCCTGTCCCGGGGGGTGGGAAGCAGGGAGGGTGTCGTGGAATAGAGCCAAGGCACTACTAGGCAAAGAGCCAGCAGAAGGGGTGGCATGTGGACTCGAAGGGTAAGCTCGTGGTCCACATTTCATGCGTGTCTTTCAACCGCGCCGGATGGGTTCCACACGAGCGTGCAATGCCAACAGGGGTAGTAATTGTCATCACTGACAGTGGGATCATCCTGCCGTGTGCAGTCGACGATGATCGCGCCCTCGACTCCTCCGAGCCTCACCCCGTCCTGGCCATGCTGACAACGTTCTTGGTGCCGGTCAACTCACCTGCCTGATTTCGGCTTGTCCAGTGTGGCTCATGGCACTCTTCTCTTCGTCTGCAGACTGTGCGCACCGATCTAGAGGCGCTACGTTGTGTCGACGACGACAGTGTCACGATGTTCGCATGTCTCGAGATCGTCATGCCTCATCTCCGGGACAGTGAATGCATTGCTCGGCGTGATCATGTGCAGAGCGTCTTCCGCGGTCGGTGGCCACGCATTTGGCCATCTGGCCGGGTCGCCATTGTTTGAGCGACTACTAGCACTTAATTGCTCGATGGCTAGTCATATATCGCCCTCACAGCTCAGGCGACGTCCACAATGCCAGTCCATCATGCTTAGCTAGCTCTAGTCCTCGCCTCGTCTCGTCTTGTCTCGCTGCAATCCCTCGATGCAACCTCCATTCTTTAGCGAGCAAGATGCCAACGCCCGGAGTCTGTGGCGCCCCGTTGTCGTCCTGAACAAACCAACGTTTAATCATGATGGCGGCTTGCACAAGCGCAAGTAATTAACACCTCGCTGTTGCCTTAGGACCTGACCAGGCGCCGTCTCTAGGACGCGGGCCCCTCGTGAAAGAGGACACATACTCCGTGACGCAGCTACTGTAGACTGCAGACAACACAACAACAACAACAACAACGATACCGATCGCCTGCGCCGGCCCTATGGCATCTCAGAGCGGTGCTGCGTGGCTTTCGCGTCCGTTGACTCAGAGTGCTCCTGCGGTGTCGACGGGTCCTCCGATTCCGATGAGTTTGACCAACGCCAAAGTCTCAACATGAGACACTGGTCGTTGTGCCTAATAAATCAGCACGCCAACGCTAGGACGGATTGACTTTGCAGACGTGATGATCGACAACGCGTGCCGCTTGTGCGACAATATCTCGTGGCAGAAGGAGAAACTCGAGTCCACACCGCACAAGAGACCCGCTGCAAGGTTGGTCAGCGATTTGTAAAGCTTGTTGGCACTTCTTCTCCACCACGAGTGCGACTGATCCCAACCATCTCTCGCGCGGCTCACATCACATCACCCAGGGCATTGATACCCAAGTGTGACGAGATGAGCACCAAAGCTGACCAGCCCACGCATATTAGAGGAATGCTCACCGAGGCACCTCACTCGGCGGTTTGCGCTTGCCAGAGAAATCTTCAGCAGCACCCGACGTCTCGGTTTGGGACCAACTTGGGTTCGCATTGGCGCGCCAGGCTAGTGGCCCGTCTCACACCACCGCCCATCGACTACTCCAGAATGCTTGCTGCACGCAATCCGTAGGCTGGAATCAGGACGGCCCATCACCTCCGGCAGGCCGTGCTTCAGTTGAGCAGTCCGGTCCTAGGTGTTGTTCAGCGACGAGACCGGGAATAATCAAGCGACAACAATACACCGACGTCATGATCTCCCACTTGCTGTTCCATCCCGTGCGCCCAAACCACCCGTACCGACGCGGCGGCACGAGCCCAGAGGCAATTACCTGCTGCTGCTGCTGCCGTTCCTAACTGACACTGGTGCCCGTGTCGTTAGCTATGGGCGATGAGTGCTACGGCCGGGGGAAGCGTGTTGCTGGTTGCGGCTGCATGTCGGGGCCTCTCCTTGTTAGTGGGGGAACCTATCGGACCAGGAGCAGCCCTCGCTTTGCCGCCATCGATTAAGCAGGTGATGTCTGCGCGGAGCTGCGGGCCGTTGTCCACGATACCATCGGTGACGGTGTACCTACTGTCTGACCTACCCTGCGTCGCTCCGTTGGTGGATCGAAGCACGGCCGGCGCGGATCAAAGTCGGGTAAAAAAAACAAGATGCACAGTCGAGGGAGGATGCAGCGGGCACGCATCCGCTTGGATAGGGCGGGGGCATGTTTCGTGGAATTCTGTGAGACTTTCTGTCTGAATGGTGCTGGTTGCCGTTGTTCGTCATCGTGAGCCAAAATGCGGCCGCGAGTAACATACAGAGTTATGTACGTACCCAAACGGAACACGAGCAGAAATTGGACGGTACCAACTCCCAGGGGGTGGATGCTGGCATGCTGCACGGAAGATCTGGGGCATCTCCTTGGAGCTGCTGTGATTTGCCCAAGCCCCGGACGAACTTCCATTTTTGGAGTAGATCACGGGCCTGCATCATGAGGCGCCGGCGATCAGCACAGGGGAATCCGCCGTGGCTGCTTGGCGTTGTCTGCCTTGCACGCACGTAGTGTACGGTACAGTAAGGAATGGAATGGCGGATACAGGAAGGGTGGTCTGTTGGCCCGAGACGCCGCAACGATGATCATTATCGTACCATGCGAACGCGAGCTTCGTCACTGACTCACTAGCATCTCCATTTCTGGCCCACATTGAGATTGTCGAGGCTGTCAGAAGTTGTCGTCCTCCCGCGCAAGGGCCAGCGGTGAGGTGCGACAGAGCTCGTCATGAATCCAAGCCAAGTCATGCGATTTGATCCTGGGACTGGTATGGTATGGAGAGATTGATCAAACAATGCGCTGCGTGGGAACGTGCGTGGACGTATCATCGTCGCAACTCTTCCCGAAAGGACAATGGCTTGAGCGGCCGGGCGCGGACGCTAACGACACTGGAGCCATGTACACGCAAGTCGTACAGTAGTGATCTGAAATGCCTGAATCGTTCCATTGTCAGCCGCCATCGATCAGGCGCAGCCAAGCGGTCGCTATGCGGAGCCGAGAGTCTTTGTCGTTGTTTGAGGGCGTCAAGATGGGAAGCCTCTTGTCATCGTCGTGGTCTTCGAAGACGGGAGGAGGGTTTGGGCCAAGCCTAGCTGCGTCATGTGACACCATCGCATGAATGCCGTGGAAGGCACAACCTGGGAGGACGCCTCGTCTTGCACCTCACCGCCCATTCTCCGAGATGGATGGAACGCGAGATCCTCTGCTCTGGCTCAGGCATCAGTCTGCTCAATCGTGGCCACATTGCCGCGTTCGTTGCATTGCCCTTCTTCAGCGCTGCAGTGTCGACTCGGAGCTTCAAAATGCGCTACGTACGAGCCTCTGCCGCAGCTGCTCGACCATTCATTCCCCTTTTCCCTCCCTCCCCCCAACCTCTCAAAATCTACAAAGGCTGTCGAAGGCTCGAAGCGAGTGCCAAAGTTCCTTGCGCGCCTTAAGTCTGGTCCGTCGCTACATCTAATGCAGGGTTGTCCCCATTTCGTATTCTCTAGTGGGATGGTGGCCCAAATGTCCACTCGAAAGGGATCAGAATGCTGGGAAAGACGGGGCCTGTCTCCTGTGATCTCCAGCGCCCGCGGCGATCTTCCAGGGTCCCTTGACACGACACACAACTCGAGGAGCCACGCGAGATGTGGATGAGCGATGCGACCATGTCTTAGACACACGCCCCTCAATCCACATATGAACATTCCAGACGCGCGCCGGCGCAGGTTACCTCGGTCCGTCACGGTCAGTGAGTGTCAGCTGCTGGCCAAGCCAAGCGAGGCAACACATTCCTTAATTAATTGCTGCACAGAGTAGGGACAATCGTACCTTGCATCACTTTCAAACGCGCTACTGAATTTCCCCAGGCCAGGTCAGCCTGGCGAGGGAACAAATTAATAACACAGAAGCCATCTACGTACGTGCAGACTGCGTGGCTTTGGCGCTAGCTTGCCGCCACGAGGTGATTGCCAGTCTGGGTAATAGTCGTCCGACCACGAGGCGCTTGGACAGCACGGCAGAAGCGGGTGGTGACGCAGCAATAAGGAACTACCAAAGCCTGCGAGGTCCAACCGCCTCTTGTCGAACGACAGCAGCAATATGGGAATAATCGCTCGTGTACACACACCGTGGAGCTCCGAAG